TAATGCATTCACTAGGACTGCACTTTGTCTCCTCAATTAAATAAAAACTGTCTAGTGACGTCAGTATAATCAAGGTAGCCGTTCTCCCACAGTGCAACCACACCGGGATTATCAGACAGCAAAGGCGGAATTTGAAAGAGGATAAACCGGTAAACTGGACGGTAAATGTGCGGCAGAATGAAAAAAAACGAAAACAAAAATAGTGTATTAAATCGGATCTAGTTTAAGGATAATTATGGCGAGTGTACTTGTAAGGCCGAGGATAGAAAGTATCCAGCAACGAAAGCAAAGAAAATGATTAAAAATAAACGGGGAATATTTAAACGATTAACAGTCCAACCTACTATGGCGAACACCTGTTATGGCGACCAGCCGAAAAATCGCCAACTTTTTCTTCTCTCAGTAATGTCCCTATGTATGGACCTGTCTTTGGTGACGATCTGTTCAAGGCAACCAACTTTTATCGGTCCTTTGCATGGTTGCCCTGTAAATAGTTGACAGCACAATAACATTGGGTGAGTCAGCTCTAGTGTGTTGTAGAACAACAGCAAGTGTAAGTCGCTTTGGCCCGATTGCGGATGAAGAAGTACAATAAATGCATCAGTCTCCGGACGAAATATATATACATGTACGTTTATTGCCAACATAAGGAGCTCTTTACTCCTTGAAGGCGGTGTATGGACTCAGCTTGAAGGGGACAATGACGCTGCTAGATGCTGCTTCAGGCGCTGCCTGCACAAAGACTGCAGAAATAATGCAGATTTGGCGAGCGTGTTTTGATACTCTCTTGAACAAGCGTTCAGGGATTGACTGGGCTATGTTGCAAGGGTTGGAATAACAAGAGATGAACGTATGTCTTACTGACACATCTCATTATATGTGAGGCCCAGAACACTTGCTCAGCTGCGAAACGGCAAGTGCACTGGAGCCGACGGGATACCGTCAGCAGTTTTGAAACAGGGTGGATTGGCGTTGAGACTTGCGGTGCAACAGTTCGTACAAAGCGTGTGGTTTGAAGTAGTGATGCCGACTGAATTGAAAGGTGCCCTTTTGCTAGCACTGTATAAGGCAAACGGAGCAAATAATGTGCGATGAATTATCGTTGTATCAAGTTGCTAAGTTGTGTAAGTAAAGTAATTGCACGAATACTGATCTTCACTCAGGTTTTTGAACCGAATGTGGTGGAAAAGCAATGTGGATTCCGTTCGAGCCGCAGCACCATAAATATGGTGTTCGCGGCTCGTCAGTTTCCGTAGCACTGCACTTTAGCCATACCAGCCATGGTACTCGCTGTTGGTTGACTTCACTAAGGCATTCGACACGGTGAACCACGGGGCACTATAGTTAGTGTTGGTACATTTGGTTATTTATTTTTGCAAGTTTCATTAAATGTCTGCGCATGGCTATGCGGGCGAGGGTGCAACTAACTGGACAAACCTCAGATGACTTTGCAGTTGTCTCTGGTGTGAAGCAAGATTTTGTCTTACCTCTACCCTGTTTAACAGTTACTAAAGTGCAATGGTGACTTGTGCTTTTGCTGTCTGTGATTATAGTGCCGGTGTAGTGGGTTGTTGAGCATCCGTCTTTTCGGGGCAAGGACTTTAATGTGTAAGACTACCATCCGTATCTCACTGTTTGTCGACGATTGTGATTTGTCTGCACACAGTCCGCATGAGTTGCAATGCATGACTTCGGCTCCCGCTTTGACAGGGTATAAGTTCGGACTCAAGATCAACATAAGCAAAACTCTTTGCCAGCCTACATCAGATGTGGAGTCCTTAGTCATACCGCAGATCCACGTTGGCAACGACGTTTTGGAGACCACCTATGGACTTTGCTACCTAGGGTTCGTCATATCTAAGACCAACAGATGATGAGTGAGCTGCGCGTCTGCAGATCGAAGGCGGCTGCTGCATTTGGCAAAGTGGGAAAACGTCTATAAAACACTGACTAGCTTAAATTTGAGAGAAAGCTGATGCTGTCTAGGTTTATGGCGTTGTCCTTTTTATTACACTGCAGCGAAACCTGGACGACGTACTGGAAAGATGTCTGACATATAGAGCAGTTTATTCAACGGTGTGCGCGACGGATTCTGCGCATCGGTTGGTGCGAAAGAGTCACAAACATGGCGGTGTTGCGCCGCAGTGGCATGTGTACTGTGAACTGCGCACCTTTGCTGAGGCACCTGAGGTGGGTATGATATATTAGCCGCGTGGATTCAATGCGGATCCGCAACAAACTACTATATGGACAGCAGTGCAGAGAAGCTGCACATAGAAAAAGCGAACTTACGTTACTGGGATATCATCAAAGTATATTTAATACCAACTAATGTTATTTTCGGATGTTGAGTATCAGAGGCAGTTGATCGACGCGGATGGCGTGGGCTGATTAAAAGGGCGGTTACCCAACTGCAGCAGAAGACATTGTTGCATGAGGAAAAGAATTGCCGGTAGCAGAAGCAACAGTCGCCGAATGAATCCAGCCCATCCGCGTCAAGCGCATAATCCTGTAGCACATGAACTCGCGAGTACCTGAGCCAGACCGGTTTAATAATCCAGCAGCGTCGATATTAGGTCCAACATTGCGGACGTGACAAGTTAGCTGGATAGGTATTCATTATCAGTTCAGCTCTTGGTAAGTACACTGATTTCGTCTTTTCCATCCACTAGGTCAGACCATCATGCCGTCAATGTAGTGTGTGTCGCGTCTTAACTGCAGTGGGTCTATATTTGCTCGTACGTGTTCATAACTTTGCGTTTCAGATGTTTGTTGATGAAAGTTATTCCCAGTGTAGTTGTGCTTAAAGTGTACTTGTCCATTACCCACCACCTCGGGTACTGTATACAGGAGACTGTGAATCGTTGTTGGGATGGGCGTGGTGCATGGTCCTCGTGACTGTGCTAGGTTCAAATAGTGGTTTCATGCATCCAGTAAGGAACGGGCTATAGCCCGTCTGCTACGTCTGATACGTATGCTTCACCTATAGATATACAGGAACGCTTGTGCTGTGCAGCTTGAAGGAGTGCGGGCCGTCTCCGTCGATGAAACTTGGATCCCCGTAACCTAAGCTGCTGGCTGGCAAAGCAAAATGCCAGTGGTTTGGTCTCTATCTTATTATGAGGGAATATTTGGGATTCCTCATATGATATAAACCAAATACAACAACCATAGTTCGAATGCTGAATAGTGACGCTGACTTGAACAACACGTAGAGACCCTAATCGGACAGGTGGTTAAGTGGATCCTGAAGTTAACGATATGAATATAACACTAAACCCTGCCTCAACTTATCCAAAATATACAACCCATGTACGACAATTGCGCGATCAAAACACGATTTGACACTAACCGGAACCAAACTGGTCAACACGCAATGGAAGGGCAACCGAACGAATAACTGTAAGGAGTAAGCCAGGCAGTGCTGGAAGCTATGATTACAGTAAGACACATGCCAAGTAAGAGAGTGGGGAGTGCATGAAGAGCGGCTGGACCCAGCGTATCCTGACAAGAGCTATGCTGAATGAACTGCACTTAGGTGAGAGCAGACAGCAGCGTAATGCACAGCTCCTTTTGATAGCGCAGGTGGTCGGGAATCACAAACAGTTCAATAAATGGATGTTTGCAGGCTACAAGAACCAATGAGTCCAATGGCTTACGATACTACAAGAACCAATGGATCAGGTTCATAACAGAACCCAACTGAAAGAAGGTATGAAAAATCAACCAAGTTGCAACGTGCGTGCGTGCGGGACAAACAGGCAATGTCGGACGAGAAGGCTCGTGCTCAATGCGCGGACCCAAGTGGATCACATGTTTCTGGTTGCGCCATGTTAAATCAGTTTACAACTTTCACAGAAATTTTGTTTTTGGAATTGTACTTCGATTTTACTTCGATTTTAACCTTAACCAAAATCTAATTAACACGCCAAGTGATCCAAGCTTCGACGTTAGCGTTGATCACGTGCTGATTACATCGTGAGTAGCTACGTATTCTGAAGATTAGAGCCTAATACAAATGACATTATTGTGCAGGTAATAATGGTACATGAAGGAGGGATTTATCGAATATGCTTGCATGATCACTAGCTGCAAGTCAGACTGCAGTCCGGCACGACGCTGGCTGCGTCGAGCCTTGTGCAGGTGAATGGAAGCGTACGCGTCCGTTGTTCGGACATCCAGTTGTGTGTGTTGCTTCTTGATATGACAAGAGTATCCGCTTTGTGAGTAGATGTGAGCTAAAGTGCATTCTCAACTGCCCATCCTTGTCTCCTTCTTTGACGCGCCTGAGTGGTAATGTATGGAGGTCATATGCTATCGACGTCAGCGCATGGATCACATGGTGCATATCATGCGGCGTGTTAATTAAGTTTTGCCGTGTTAGGTCAAGTGATGGTACCATTCTATAACCATAATTAGATTGCGAAAGTTGTAACCTGACCTAACAAGCTAATTCAGTTATAGTTGTTGGACCAGAAACCGAAGGTTACATAACGAGGAGAATTACATCACTCCCGGTCAGTCAAAAAGTCTGTTATGCTCAGGAAAATTCGTTTCTATGGTTACTTTTGCTACCGTTCTTACTTACACTCTTCTTGCTTCAGTTGTCTTCTTCGTATGGTTAACTAAAGCAGTAATTGAGCGGTTGGTTGCAACACCAACGTTCATCTTCGGCGAGTTAACAATAAACGAATTCAGTCTATGCTACCTACAAAAATTTGTCAGATGCTGAACCTCACCAAACTGCTAATATTTGAGGCAATTCCGACGTACATTTCTTCACGGCTTATTTATTGCGTATAACATAAAAAGCACACATAAAAGCACTATCAATTCCCTCTGTTTGGATGGACAAACAGGATTTTAATCATTTGCTTATGCTGAAACTGAGAGCGGATCACCTTAGTCATGAATGATTTTCGCTCTTACTCGCGCTTCTTTTTCAAGTAACCGGCAGCCCACTCCCACCGGATAATATCCAGTATATCCGATTGGATCCCATGAAGGTGCGGGTTAGCTGGATGGCCCCAGTGAACTCCGGTGCCGCCAACGATGTGGTGCAGTTCGCCGTGTACTACCGTGAAGAAAGTACCGATAGTACCTCACAACATGTGCTCAATTGGTCCAGGTATACCACGGAAATGTTTGCATCGTCAGTGGAGCTGGTAAGTATGGTTTGACCTAATGAGTCTAGTTGTTATTTTATCAGTAAAAGCAACTGCTAGCTGATGCGACCGCAAAGAGCCCAACACTATTTTTTGCTGCGTTGACCCAAGCAAACACACTTGACAGGCTGGTGTGGAATTACATTGATATCGGTAGTAAGCCAATATACCGACTGTTAGTTTAAAGTAGCAACAACTTCAATCTCATAGACAGGCTAGATCGGTTGACTGCCAGCCAATCTTAAATTTGGCAGGTAGACTTTCTAGGTGCAAAAGTAGTCGACTAGATAAGAACGATGTATCCAAAGTGTTACGACCCAAACGAAAATAATATGATATACTAAAACTACTTAGAGTCTTTGAGTAAAATGGGAAAATTATAGTGTTGCTCATCCCAACCCTGGCACCCCAAGACCGCGGTTTTGTCCTGGTTGGGACTCATCAGTTGGAGATAGCCTGAGTTGGGCTGGAACTCAGAGCCTAGTGGCTCATGGTTGACGCCATAAGCACTATGCCACGGAGGTCCGCGTGCAACGCTCGGTCCAGCGGAAACGAATGCAAAGTTGGAATTGGAGTATCCGCTGGTGGTTGGGTTGCGACAAGCAACCTCTATTGAGACCTCGGTTCACTTGAGGTGGACCTCGGTCAATCCGATCAAAAAGACCGTAAGTAAGTAAGATGGGAACATTATAGTGTTGCTCATCCCAACTCTGGCACCCCAAGACCGCGGTTTTGTCCTGGTTGGGACTCATCAGTTGGACTTATAGTCTTCTCTTCCCCATTCCTTCAACTCAATTCCAAACTTAGGGCTACATTCTGCTCTTTGTATTCAGAGCTTGACGAAATTAAGAAACTTTTGGCTTTCTTCGAAACTGTAAAATATCACATGATCTCACTGGATTATATCAGCAACCCATCTGAAAATTTTCACTTGTTCAATACAGAAAGGCAGGATAACTCATTGACCCTAACGTCAAAGACGTACATGAAAGAAACTTTGGAGTAAAAAGTTACATGTTTTTAAAATACCACTGATCCAGTTTAAACAAATTAAAACCGACAGTACCTAGCCTTTGCATAATGTCCGAGGTCGTCTTTAGATGTCTGCGTTTGCAAACAAAGTCGCCCGGCAGTTGCCGATTCATTTTGAAATTTTCAAACGAAGATTTGGCAGATCGTTTCTTGCACAGCCAACAGATCATTACTGAATATACCCAGTGCAAAGATTTGTGGTTGAAGCCGAATGGCACGCCCCTGCTACCATCCCACCTCAGAATGACACAGAGAACACCGAGAGACGGTAACAGCTATGCTGATAAACCACACACCAATCCGGATAAAAGGTACACCTAGTGTGAGAAACGCAACTGCTAACGTGGACCTCAATGAATCGTATCTAGCAGCGGTATCATCAAGCAACCGACCCACTTTCTATCTTATCATCTACTGTATGACAGCCGAACTTAACGGACACCAGAAGTCCTGACTGCGGTTCCATTGCTCCAAACTCATTCGGCATGGTCACCTTCGGAAAATATCAAAAATAAGGTACAAATGATTGTTGCGTATCAAAAAACGACAATAGAAAACCGCTACAAACGTCGGGATGCACTCTCAGACTTGCTAGCGGCTGTCGTAAACACAAAGATATCGTCCAATGATTGACCAAACAAGTTTACGACTGGTATTTTGTATGAAATAGGCGTCTATGCGCAGTTCGGTGGCCCTCAAAGCTTCGTGCCAACCATTGCCTTGCGACTGCAGCGGTACGGGTTACTACGCGCCCATTAGAATTTACAGCAATTGTGTTCTAGCTACAGCTACCTAACAACCTCCAAACTAGCAGCCTACTTAGCAGCCTCCGTCCGCTACAAGCCTAGAGAAAGAAATAAAAATCGCGAAAATTATGAACACATGGCAAAATCACTTGTTCTAAGAAATACACATGCACCCCAACACAGTCCACCACTTTACTATTACCCGTTTTTAGCGGAAGTGGGAATGGCTCAGCATCTATTCCCACCACTGAGACACTTAACAGCGAAAGCCTAGCTTGTTCCACTTTTCTAGCAGTTTATGCACATATTAAGGCTAGCTAGATGCCAGCTAAATCTCAACCTAGCCACGGGACATAACTATCCTCTACATAGCTGGTCTTGCTAGCGCGAACAATGTTCTTACACCCCAGCATGCCACTGATGGGTTTGCTTCCATCAAACCCTTATGTAACTTCTTTGCCTGTCGTTTCTGATTCCCACTCCTCTGAAGAGATCACGGGAAACCTTTTTGTGCAAAACTTGTTTTTAGTTATACTAATTAACGTAAGACCCATAAACAACAAGTCGTCTTTTGTTAGCCTGCACACTAAGCTAAGCAACCAACATGTAATATTCATCACCGAAACATGGTGCTCCTCTGCTACATCGCATGCTACTTTAGATATTCCTGACTACCATCTATTTCGAAAAGATCGAAGCACAAATAAGGATAGCGGATGTATCGTATATCATTAACAATGCTTCAGAGCGGAGCTTATCGACGACCCACAGTTAAACAACGTTTCAGAAACTGTGTAGCTATCAGTCGCTGCAACCTCGTCTATAACCCATCGAAAGTGACAGACAGGGATATCGCTATTCTCTTATTGGTGTTTTATTTCGCATTGGTATTACCACATGGTCTAAAGATGACCGCATACGATTTCAGTCTACGAAATATGACTTGCTCGCCACATCCCTCCACACCATTGCACAGATCTTTCTTGTTAGACTGTCATAGGTGGGGGTTAAACTCAGTGGGTCACCATACCAAATAATTCTGCCAAACTACTGAATTTAATCTTCACCATAGGGATTCCACACGCACAAATTAATACTTTGGATAACCTCCCTGGTAATGACCACAAGATGCTAGGGCTTAGCTCCTACATGAAAATGAATACCAAACTGGAAGCAGCCACCTATCATACTATCCAAAGGATTGCTTGGAAGTATTTCCAAAAGCTAACGCGGTCCACTTATTTGGATGCCTTTTTTCTCTCTACTAGCACACCCATTGCAATGGAACACTTCTACTACCAGACCAGTCCCACCGTGATTATACTTGTCTCACATCCTACATCTGTCATTCCTAGTCCTAACAATGCAAATGATACTCGGAGTGACCAAAAAAAAGAAAAATAAGCAATAACTTCAGAAAGACAAACCTTTTATCAATACTACAGTAGCACGAATCCGTCGCCTGTATGAAGCCTTCAGCAATGAAGTGGATTGCAAAGGAGTAGGCCAACTCCTTGCAGATGACGTGCAAAGGAATTAAACGGCTGAAATTCCTCCGCCATAGAACTTGCGACAGGACGTCTTTGATCACGGAACTACTCGATGAGGCTGGTGGCCACATTAACGACCCATCTGCTAGTTGTGAAGCGTTTAGTTCTTTTTTCGCTGTTTGCATGAACGTAAAAACCGATACTATCTCTTGCTTCTCGGAACGTACGACAACAGGCGTCATACGTAAGGTTGAGATTTCCCTTTCGACCATTTAACAAGCTTCGAAGTCCATCAAACCATCGCTCAAACTAGACCCCGATGGTGGCCCCCAATCAGTCCTCAAGTTCGGTGGATCTGATATAAAACCATTTGTCGAACATGCTCGCCTTGTGGTTAGAATCTCGCTACCTACCGGACAAGTGAAAAACACCGTTTATTTTCCCTAGTCAAAGGAGGACTTAAACAGAACATCACTATCGACGTAGTCACCACACTCCCATCATCGCCAGATTATTCGAAAAAGTAATTAAATGTGGAATCATAGACCATCTGTCGTCATGGACTACTTAACAAATCTCAGCATGTGTTCCTCGATAATCGTTCCTGCACATGTTGTCAGTTGCACTACCTGGATTACATCACAGAATCCGCTAACTCCAGTTATGTAGTTATAATGTTGCTGCTGGATATGCAAACGGCATCCGACCGGATGTCTCACAAACGACTACTGAAAAAGATCGTGTCATTTGGGATCAGAGCACCACTATTGGGTTGCTTGACATCCTAGCTAAATAGGCGTCACCAGAAAGTCACTCTGAGTAATCATAACTCTTCTCCACGTCCAATCATTAATGGTGTCATCCAAGGGATTGTGCTTGATCCTTCCCTTTTTCTACTCTATATTAAGGATAACACTATGTTCATGAAACACTGCAGGCCATTTTTGTCCGCTGATGATATTAAGATTGTCTATAAATTCTGACGAGGCGGACTCCAGAGCGCAATGTTGCTCGTTCAAGACTAGGGAAATGGTGCAACATATATGTGATAAAGTTCTCAGCTAGTAAATCATGCATCACGTCACAAGGATTTTCGATTCCTGAAGAGTCAGTTAAGCTGAATAATGAACGCATCTGTGTAAACTGTTTAACTGTGAGCTAGGCATACAACACTCTTCAAACCTCTATTTCTCAGAGCAGGTTGAGTATCCAGTAGCACGTGCCAAACGATCTATGGCTAACAATGCAATAAAATCCATAAAATCTTCGCCAATATCAAGATTTTAAAGTACTCACACTTCCTGTCCTTGAATACTGTAGCAGTATTTATGGAAACATGCTTATGGGTGACAGGAAACTCTGGAAAACCGGCAATGCTTATTCACTAAAAGCTTGTTTAGTAAATCGTCCACCTTGAGCGCTCAGGAGCGTTGCCAGCAGCTTTAGCTCGAGCCCCTTTAGTTGCGACAACTGCAACATAACTTGATGTTGATACAAAATCTCACAAACCAAAATACCTACACGAATCAATGCACACTCGGAAACTACGTTACAAGACTTGTAAACTAACTGTGTCATCAACCAGGACAGTTATTTGATTCAAACTTCTTCCTTGCTAGAAAGGCTGTTGTGTGGAATAGTCTACCAGCCATTCATTATCAGGTCTTACAATAAATACAAAAAATTTCGCAACTTATAAATTTTCTAGGCCATAACTGGACAATGACCATGT